TCCTGTTTTCTCGTCACCATACTCCCACCAAGAGCGTAGCTCCACTTTCTGCATATAAACTCACACTCAACCAACAATTCCTCCAATCGCTCTGACGGTAGGCTAACGCTCGAAACGTCAGCTTTTTTACTCTTTACAGTGGCCAATTTACGTTTTTATCTAAGTTGTTAACACCAAATTACCTACAAAAAAGTACCCCGTTTAGGATTCCTATACACAAGTTGTATAAATTAGTAATTTCCCGCCATCGACTACTTTTAACGGGATGACTGTTGCGATAACTTTTTGAGCCCTTTTTCTCTCCAACATTGATAAGCATTGATATTCTCTCCATAATCTTTATACACTTGAAAGTACATTGGTAACGAGAGTTAAGACCATAATCAACCACGGATAATACATAAAGAGACCGTTTATGACACCATAGGCTAAAAGGATTATTACTTAGAGTTTTGCCATCAGACACACGTGTTGCTACAAACTTAATCAGTCAGTGAATGTTGTTCGTCAATGAACTGCCAGGAAAAGTACGTGCTATGTACAAAGTTTAGAGCGCGTTCAATCGCTTGCACCAAACCTTTGTTGTTTATCAGGATCAGGTCCAGGTGCACTACTTTGGTTAACCCTAAAAATCTCTTTAAAAATGTAACCACGACGTTGTCGACGTTGTAGGTTTGGCATGTGAAATTATTCCAGGAAGAAATTAAATTCAGAAGCCGCTGGCAGAGATTATCGCTCCGTCCCGCGACTGTGAGCAATCGAAACGCTTGCAGTTGTTAAAATTGAATTTTTCTTTTTGCATTTTTTTTTTGAACTGTGACGTCTCGAGAAGGCGAACCGAAGAGTTTATATGAGAAAAAGTGGATTCGTGTCAATATCTGAGCAACTTCGCTCCTACCCTTTCCCTTACCCAACATTAACCCTAACTTGTTATCAGTTGACTGTTGTTGGTTTAAGGGAAGGGTAAGTTGCTCAGATAATGTCATTGATCCGAAAAAGTCGTCCCGCCTGACGAGGTTACCTTAGCGCGCTCTCACGAGTTGTACGCCCCTTAGAAACGAGCTCACCATTTTTATGCAAATTGTTCGTTGAAATTTTTCAAAGAAATGAATTAAAAGTTAGCTAAGCCAACGTAATGGGGGGGGGAAGGTGCCTTGGAAACCTGAGACCATACAAATGGGCCTTAAGGCCAAATCCCTATCACAACGTGAAAACGAGGCGAGGATATGGCTCCTTTCGGGCAATTCAGAGGTATTACATTATAACAAATATAGGATTACTAGAAGGAAACGAAGATAGATTTCTAAAAATATGAAAGTTATCAGCATTAGCTCTGGATAGTTCTCGGTCAACACTCTTACATTCATTATTGATTTACCAAGTAGACTGTGCAAAGGGTAATCGCGCTAATGATCACGAAAAACGTAAAAAAAAAATGATCCAGTTTAGCTGACACTTTTTGCCATGTTATTTGCTCTTCCTTCTCCTCCCATCCATGTGATGTGGTGGCTCTTGTGGATGCGGTGGACAGTTCTATGGCATTCAGGGATGGGGGAGAGTTCACAGAAGGGATTGGGTACTCGTCTGAGCCGTTCACATCAACTCGTTTGGAAACTTTTCCTTTCCTCCTCCAACACAAGCAGAGGTTGCGCACCCATTGAGGTGGAGTACCATTCGTGAAGAAAACCTTAAGGACGAAGATGTTACCAAACAGGACCAAAGCTATGATGATCGACGTGGCCTGCAAACTTATGCCGAGGATTGGGACGCCATCTGATGTTTCCGGGAGGAAGGATGGAATAAGCAGCAAGAACACCGTCATGGCGAGAAGCATGGTAGTGACAAAGCCAATTCTTTCCCCACTCTCCACAGGAATGAAAAATGATGTCAGCGTCAGAGTCAAAAGCAGCGTGCTTGGAATAGTGAGGTAAAACACATGAAATAAAGGCTTCCGAGACATTTTCAAACTGTAAACAACTTCGCTGAAGTCAAATGGACAACAGTCGCCGTGACTTGTCTTAGTGATTCTTTTTGTTATATTCATTATACTCCAGTCACCACTTGTAACGAAGCGACCTGCAAGTAAAGGAAACCCTCTCCTTATGTAGGAACTCAATGATAATGGTAACGTGGAAGGGGAGTGCGGACCCCTGGACCCTCCCAATGTATCCGCCCTTGATGTTGTCTGTAATATTTTTTTCAAAGAGTTCGCCGAGTGAGGGGGAAAAAAGGAGTAAAGCTATGCCACGTGAAAGGAAAACGGCTAGATTGCTAGGGAGTAAACATCATGGCGTAGTTGGTTAATTCTGAAGAGGTTAGGTGCTTCTTATGACATAGTCATAATTTCAAATATAAATTTTTTTCTTCTCGTTCTAGACAGTAGAAATCGGCTTTTGACCATAAAGTTGTTGATGGACTGAATCACTTAGTGTAGCGTTAACCCTTAAACAACCACGAGTGACCAAGACAGAATTTCTCCTTACAATATTAATACAATATCAAGCAGAAAAGTGATGATAATAAAGAAAAATATCAATGAGGGGATTAATAGTTAATATAATACTATATTCTCTTTAGACGACCCTATACATAAAAAGTGACAGGCCATTTGTTCACAAACCCATCCAGGCATCGGCAATCAAGATACTTACTGGTAAATTCACCAGATGTGTCTACAAACAGTTTAATATTCAATCTGTCATCTCCGTATGTATATGAACCAAAGCCCAATTCACATGTCTGGTTGTCAAACGGCCAACTGATGATTTGTAAGTCACAGTTCGCTTTGAATGTAGCAGGCCCACTCCACACACAGTTCCCTTTGTTGTCCACAGAAACTTCAGTGACAAATTTCCCTCTTCCTCCAGCCAGAGTTGTAGTGTCGTCTCCGCTTAAGTTGAAAAAGAGAAAACATTTTAGGTTAAAATGTTACTGTATAGGTAAGATTTAAAAATTTCTCCGGAGTATCTAAGACTTATTCTTAAACATACTTGCCGACATTTTGTTAAAAACTGCTACAGTTGCAAATATGCTATTTTGCGAGTAGCGCCCCTTTCTAAGATTACTTACGTGTTGATTAATGTTGATTCATAATTGTTTTGCTGCCCTAATTTTGTTACAAAGACTTGCCATCACTCACTTGTTGTAAAGGGAGATATCTGGTACCCAGATCTCACTCGGGAGAAACTGCACACGCTCTACATCTCCAAAGGCTTTCGAGTCCCAAACGAGAAATTCATTTTTCCACCTCTGAAAGATCAATCAAATTAAATTTAAAAGAAAAGTGTAAGCAGCATAGGTTTTTTCATCTCTTACTTCTGTATTAAGATGATCGATACACACATTCTTAACACTCAATTCTCAAGGGGGTAAGTTTCCAAAGAAACTGTGGTGCTGCGTCGGTGAAAGAGTATAACAGGGTAATTAGTATTATCAACTGAGTTGATAGCGTAAATTGGCCACCGTAAGGAGTTTCAAAGCTGACGTTTCGAGCATGAGCCCTTCGTCAGAGCGAAGCGATGAGCAATCGCTCTGACAGTGGCCAATTTACGTTATCGACTCAGTTGATAACGCTAAATTACTGAATTATGAATTCAGCTTCGAAACTAGTCCGAGATTGCATTAGTTTGCTCTTCTTGCGCCAGAAAAAAAGTCTATGATTAGTTTCCCAATTCAGTGTAACTTTGCAATTTAACGAGGACGAAGGTGGTTGATTATAAAGAGTTCAAAGAGTTCTGTAGTGATTACCATTATTTTTATTTTCATGTTGGATATGGAGCACGATGAAGAGGAGACTGTCTGAATCGATGACGCGTATTAGCAATGAGACGCCTTCAATGAACGCTTGTCCTTTCGACATTTCTTGATTTTTCTGCGACATCGCGGTGTTAAACCCTTAAAACATATGCCTTTTCAATTTTCGCTAAAATTGAATATCGGCAAAACTTGATGAGTTTGAACTGACCTGTATCACCCAAGTGTCCAAAATCACAATTTGTTCTTTTGTGTCCTGCAAAATGAGAAATTGAAACGAAAGAAATAAATTGTAAACATTACCCCCACTCTCTCTCACACTTCTTAAGATAATAATGATGATAATAGTAATAGTAATTATAATAATGATGATGATAATAATGATAATAATGATAATAATTAGAAATTATATTGCGTAACAACAAACTTACCGACAACATGTGAAAAATTCGTGAATATTTCCATTTTATTCTATTCCTGGGCGCAATTGAAAAGCTATTTCAAATACTCGTGTATTGGGTTTCATCAGGGTTTCCAAACACTCGAAAACAGTAAAAGCACTCTGCCTGCGGGCCTCGTGCTTTCATCAGTTCTCTCGCGTTTGGAATCCTGATGAAACCCTCGCACTCGTTTTTGATACAGTACATCAAATGCCCTTCACAGGAAATAACGATGGCTAACTAATATAAAATTGATATACAGTTTGAAAGAGATAGCTATTAACAGAACTTAATAATTCCCTTAAGAAGAGAAAAAAAACTACATTACTGGGACAGCAATTTAAAAGTTCGACTAAAAAGATAAGTTTTGAGATTATACTGAAAATTTGAAAATTTGCCAGTGATGTCACTTGGTAGATTATTCCAGAGATACGAGGCTGCAGCGAAGAAAGCCCTTGCCCTTAATGGAGGTAGCACTGTAGACACAACCCTAATCAAGGCTTGTTTCTTGGTGCCATTAGGAGAAGTTTCTGATTAGACCGTAGTTGGAAGGAATTTTAAAACTTATAATCTTAAAATTATAATCAGATGCTATGCAATGTACTGCTTTGAAGCACATAATCAGACGCCATACCATTTACTGCTTTGAGGCGCGCGTAGTAAAATAATCTTGAAATCTCTGTAGTATGTAATTGGTAGCCAGTCTACAATGAAGCTGGTGGTTCAGGAGAACAAAAGACATTCTAGTGAGCTCACCACTTTTACGAGTCTGCTAATCTTCATACCAAACGCCACTTCTACGGCTTTTTTCCCTATTACTGGCCTGACATTCATGTCATAGTTATCAAGAAGGGCGCTGCGGATTTGATGTTCCAATGAGGCATTTGATGATCCTAAAACGCCTTGATGGAGAGGTGAACTTAAATAAGCACACAACAGAATAATAATGATAAAAACAACAATTATGCAATTAAAATTATAATACTAAAAATAATATTAATAATAATGATGATAATAACAACAACAGCAATAACAAAGTGGGACTGTGTTAAGATCTAAACCTCAATTACTAAAAAGAGTGTTTTTGACATTACATAAACATGATCAGTACTTAATTTCGCGGATACCTAATATCGCAATTTGACTGAGAAAGTGTTTTACGAGATTTATTTTCACGATTTCAATAGCGATTTCAAAGAAAAAATTTCGCGATTTATTAAGTTTGACGACTGTGCACTGTACACAAAGATGTTCTGAGAAATTTGTATAAATCTAGCGACCCAGGTGAAGTTTATTACTACATTCTCTAATCCATTTACAAAATCTTTGCAAATTAACGTCATTTTACAGCTAAAGATTCAAAATAGAGCTCACCAGTAAGTTTATAGTTTGTGTATTTGTCGATACATATCCAGTATATGTAAAAATAGAACACACGAGTCAGTTTATAGTTTGTGTATTTGTCGATACACATCCGGTATATGTTGTTGCTTTTGCATATTGATTTTTTTCTGTGATTTGAATTTTTTATTGGGGATTAGATTTCGCGTGTTCAAATTTCACGAGGATTTTTTTACAAATGCGAAAAAAAAGCGAAATTAAATATTATTAAGGTATCACAACATAATCACCAACACTGTTTTTCCGGCATAAATCTTGAACTTGAAAAAAGGGAAAAAAGAAGAAATGCTGAATAATAATAATAATAATAATAATAGTGATAATAACAATAATAGTAATGAGAATAACAATAACCAGTATTAGCGATAATGATGATAATAATTTCTCGAAATTTACAACTGTGTAATGGAACTACATACACTTAATGTATGGTCCTGAGGGAAACAGTTTTGTGTTCCTGAGAGTCCTGATGTTTCCCGAGACGGAATCAAGGGGAACATCAGGACTCGAGGGAAATCAAAACTAACTAGTTTCCCTCGAGACCATACATTAAGTGCTTAGATATATATTTAGCCTTTCCCTTAAACAATCATGTGCTTTTGTATTCGGTGCGCGGGCAACAACTGCGCAATTGTATCGGAATACATTTGAATTTGATCAGGGGCACGTGACCAAGAACCAACCAGTCGTTTTTTTGAGTGAAATTCTAGGTATATAACAATTTGAGATATTTCAGGCGTTCTCATCAGTCGCTTAATGTTAACGTTCGCGCTAATATTTGAGAAATGCTGCATAGAATTGAAGGGATAGATTTCTTTTCCCGTCTTCACTGAGATAAGTGTTGGGAGAATTCTCGAAATTGGACAAACCCGGAACACAGTACTGTCGAGGGTCTACGAATTTTTTTCAACTCCATTAGCGTATAGACAAAGGAATATAAACACGAGAAATAATTTCTCGATTTTCCCTTGAATGCGTCTCGCATTTGCTTAAGTGGTCAAATTTTTCCAATTCATTAAATTTATATTTAGATGCATAAGGTGATGTAAACATTGATAACGTCAAGTAGTACCCAGATACTAATTGCTTGTAAAAATTTAGTGAAACAATTCAAGTTGTGAAGTAAATCAAGTAAATTAGCTGTAAATCCACTGTAAAGCAAACCAGGTGTTCACCATTCAAGAGACGCTTTTAATGATATTCTTTGAGACTTTTTACACTAATATGATCGAACGATCTTCAATGACAAGTCATTTTTCAGGCGATAAAAGTACAATAATTTCCATGGAGTTGAAGGTATAATGTCCTCCCCTTTTTTATTATTATAAATTCAACGAAATTCAAATTTTTCCAAAACCTGAGTTGATATAAGAAAGGATTTTTCCAATCCCCGTACTTCTGGAGTACCTCAGCTTTTCCTTTATAAATATTCATTTGTTTTCAACATTATTTCTACAAAAAATTGCGCCTCTCATTAAAAAATTCTAAAGAAAGAAAGAAAAATCTCAGACCCCTATTCTTACCTCACTCGATTACAAATAAGAAGCCTTGAGGTCAAACAAAACACGGTTTGCCGCCGCACAAAGGCGCAATTTTTTATTTACGGGTACAACAGAATATCCCTTCCCCCTCTCCCCCCCCCCTCCGAATTGTAAATCGTTATTTGGCTCACTCCATGTAGCACGCTCAGAGACAATCAAAGTGCGAGGTGACAACCCGAATTCTCAACATCAGCGGGCTAAAAATTGATATATCAGAATATAAAAAGCAAAACTTATATATAAACGAAAAAAGTTTTTTATTAGTTGCTTCTTCACGCTTACTAAAAGCCAAATCAACAAATTCATACGATAAACGTTACAAAGAGGCGAATTAAAAACTACTGGCCAGTTTTTAAGTGATTGCTTTAAATATTAATTGAGGTAAAAACACTAGCAGCAGAAAAAAGAATCAAGCGCTAAGAAACTGATGACTGGTAACTAATACAAAAGACTGGCAAAATAAATCGATATGTTTAATATACAAGAGTCACTTTCGTTTCTAGAGCTGTGTACTCTAGCTAGCAGAGGCACTACAAAAGCAAAGCTAACTTCATTAATGATTGATTCCTGGTTCTACCTCTAAAGGAGTAGATTTAAGGAATTGTTTGTAACACGTCACACACGTTGTCGATTAAGTACAACATGCATTTCGTTGATTATTACTGAAATAGAAGGTGATAAAGCTGATATACCGTAATGATGAAAGCCGTACGGCGGAACCGACCGTTAGTCTGTCGAATCGAAGTGAGAAACCAGAAATTTTCCACCATTCGATTTACGAAAAAGCGATTTCTTAGTATTGACCGGTATGAGCGAGTTCGGTTGAAATTTTGAACGAATGCTTTGATTTTACGTGAGAAAAAATATCGGAAGAAGTACCATAGTGCAATTTGATTTCTGTTGCAGCGGTTAAAAATGGTAAGTGAATCAAAATTACAAATTTTACAGTTTTCCAAGTTGACATTCAAGTTATTATGGCATGAACCTTACGGAAAGAGATCCATGCACAAAATATGCGGAACGTAAAGTTTCAACCATATACTGCTGAATACACAGAGAGGAATATATAATGAAAAAGAAATTACTCTAAAGTACTTACCTCTAACACAAAGTCCTTCCAAAAACCATAGTACGAGGTAATAAAACATCTGGGCGCGGATTTCCTTTTAAAATTTCCGGTGGAGATTCTGGTGTTACCGCGTCAATGATGGATGTTTTTCAAGAGCTGAACTGAATTTAGCACACGGACTTATGACATTATAATCGCGTTAGTGGCTAAATTGTTGTGCAAATTAACTTCTTTTTCAATACCAAACAAAGATCTTGACATTACGTCAAGGATTTTGAATAACTTATTTGGGCATTTGTTTTTTCGCAGAATAAATATGAACAAATTAAATCGCCCTGGCGATACACGATAGATTTGGATACGATGGTCGCAAATCAGGCGTCAAGTTGCTAGTTTCTCTCAAATAAGGCATTGTTTCTGTTAATTTAATGTTCCGCGGTTCGCTATTTTCGGAGAAGTCAGGTGTAGTTAGGATTAGATAATCTGATAATGTAAGCATTGACGTCGAAATGTCACTGAGCTCCAGAAACGTGCTTTGCATGATGGCGCCCAGATCGCTCAAGTGGGTAATTAACTTGGTAACCAAAGCAAGACACAACAACACGTAGTCTTCGTGATTGTAATTTAGAGAAAGACAAGACTTTTATTTACATAGGAAAATTAAATGTTCCGCTGTTTTATTGTTGGGCCGCAAAATAAATACGGTTACCAAATCATAAGCTCATGAAATTATAATTTGTATTTGAAAGGATGTAATTTCTTATTTACTCAGTGTAAGAAAAGAAACTGATGAATGGGAATTTTTGTCAACTAGTCTGAAGAAAGGACAGAAGACAGTAAGAGCGAGAAAACACCATAAATTAAAACAAAAATCAATGAAGAGCCTTGTTATCAATGTATTATATCATTGATGACAAAATTTGAAAGACTGAAATAATCTGTGAGACCTTCGAAATCAATATCCGGTGGGAATAAATTTTCATTAAAATGGTTTCCCTAACAGTCGATTATCAGATCCCTTCACCGGGATCTATGAAGTATTCGATTAAACTAAAAAATATTCAAAGCTTGCTCTAATTAATGGAATCTTTTCCTGGAGAGTTCTGATTTCAAGAGAAGTGTCCAATCATGCAGAATGGTACAAAAATTATTGCTTTTTCGTCGGAAATCAGACTGTTGTACACGTGATTTTAGTTTGTTTTTTCAGTTGAAAGTTATGTTAATAAAAAGTGTTAGCAGGTCCTGATTATATATTCATATCACTGCCATTTAAAATGAGTGCTACCGTTCTAACACCTAAGAAGAAAGGACACCCTCTTATACAAAGCATGCTGAACACTCGAAAAAGGGAACGAACCAGAATTAATAATGAGAACTTGTTTTTCTTTAGAAAAGAAAAAAAAAATGTCTTTCGGTCGCCATAGGTAATAAATTGAACTCTTTAATTCAAATTACAGGTGAATTTTATTTGAATGAATTATCAACAGGACATTAGTTGTATGAAAATAAATATATTAGAAAAATATATATAGAAAAGAAATAGTTCAGATGTTGAAGATCCAGAACGTTCCAGGATCGTAACAAGGGAGAAAGGCGGGATGAGATAAAAACGCGGCCGAGGATTTCGAGCCGCGGACTAAAAGAGGAGGGGAAAACTGTTTTAAGGTGATGATTACTTAAAAGAGGTTTCTCAAGAGAAAAGTTAGTTAAGGTAGCTTTATTCATGTTAGGAAAAGCGCTTTTCTTTTTTACATCAGTTTGTATGACTTTATGGTGAAGGATTTTGGTTTTGTCACGATGAAATTTATTTGATCTTCCTATAAGGTTCTGTATGTATCTTTATAATTTCCTCCCTTTCCCCTTTGGTTCCAAAAACTGAACAGACACGCAGCCAAGAGGAATCTCTTTGTTAAATAAAACGTAAGGATATTGACTCTTTAAGTTGCGAATGTTACTGCGTACGTAATTGACGAAATAATAATGAAGACCACAAAAAACACTTGATCCAATTTCATTGACACCCGCCGCCACGTGAATTCTGGGACTAGGGACGGTTTAACCAATGGCGAGCTTCCTCTACTGAAGTCATTCAACTCAATACCAGCCGTTGTTGCGAGGGACTTCGCGGCTGAAGGATAAACACTACTGGGGCGTGAAGAGGTGAGGCTCCTTACCTCTGGACCCTTCTTAAGGCTGAAGAAGTTGCAAAATTTTTCGACCCATGTAGGCGGCGTTCCTTCCAAGAAGTATACTCTTAGGACAAAGATGTTTGCGAAAAGGATCACAGCTATTAAGATCATAGTGGCCTGAAGGTTCACTCCCAAGACTGGGAGGCCCTCCGAGGTAACTGGAAGGAAAGACGGAATGAAGAGCAGAAACACAGTCATTGCCAACAGAATAGTTGTGACAAAACCGATGCGTTCGCCGCTTTCAACGTGAATCAGGAAGCTGCTGAGCGCCAGGATCGTCAGTAGAACCGAGGGAATAAATACGTAGAACATGTAGTAAAGATATTTGCGTTTCATCGTCAAAGTGTACACCACTTCGCTGAATTTGAACGGACAACAGTTACCGTGGTCAGTTTCGTTTAAGCTAGGTGTGATGTTTGTTATGTCCCAATCTCCGTTTCTTACAAAGCGAGCTGGAAAATAATAATAAAAAAAAATCATTAACCCTTTACACCCTAACACCAGTATGCATATTCTCCATACTGTTCTGTATACATTTCCTGAGGTGCTAACAAGGAGAATATATATGTTTCACAACCAAAAGCTTCTCAAGTTGATGATCATTTCTTGTATTCTCGATACCCTAATATTTGAGTCAGAGGTGATATCATGAGGAGAAATTAGATGCTAATCACTCTCAGGGTCATATGGTTAATCTTGAGTAACTGAAGAGGGTGGTTAGAGAAGAGGAGAACTAATGATCACTAATATGCCAGCGGCAGGGATATGGTAACTGCCTTTATGTAAGATATAATAAGGGTTGATCAGACATCAGTATGAGGCTTGGTGTTAAAATGATACCGGATAGACTAAAATTATGTAAATAGGGAGGTGGCTTCTACTAAAAGGGGCCTATTTGAGAGAGAGGGCGTTTTAAAAAAGGGACTTAATAGAGAAATGGCTGGTTAGGGAAGGGGCTTATTAGAGTGGGGGCTTGTTAGAAAGGGGGCTTATTGAACAGGGGGCTTAGAGACGGGAACTTGTTAAAGAAGCTGTTTTACTAAAGAGAGGGGAGCTAATTAGAGAGTGGGGAATCATTAGATAAGGGGCTTATTTTAGGGTGGGGCTACGAGGGAGGGCTTATTAGAGAGGGGCTTTAACCCTTTAACTCCCATAAGTGACCAAGACAGAATTTCTCCGTACATTATCAATACAATATTAAGCAGACAAGTAATGAGAAAACAGAAAAATATCAATTAGGGGATTATAAGTTGATCCAATACCAAATTCTCCAAACTAACATTACAAGAACTGCATAGCAGACAGTAAGGAGAATTACTAATGAGATCTTGGGAGTTAAAGGGTTAAGAGAGGAGGGTTCGCTTATGAAAGAGGTTCTTTTGACTGAGGAGAGGGAACCTTATTAGCAAGGAGCGTTTATTGAAGAGGGGGCTTGGTAAAGATAATCTTTTGCCTCGCCCATGAGCAACACCGGCCAGCACCAGAGAAAAAAAGTGATACTTAAACCAGGTAACTCCTTACTTGAAAACTGTCTATTGTCCTTGAAAAGTCTAATCTTCAACAGGTTCTTTCCATATGTGTACGAACCAAATGCCAGTTGACAAGTTTGTTCGTCAAAAGGCCAGTCATTAATCCTCATCTCGCAGTTCACTTTAAATGTAGCTGGTCCGCTCCAAACACATCTTCCTTTGCTATCCACAGCGACATCGGTGACGAACTTACTAGTTCCCCCAGCCAAGTTGATTCTATCATCGCCACTAAATATAAACGAGAGACGATGTTAACCCTTCACATCCCAACATCAGTATGTGTATTCTCCATGCTGTTCTATATACATTTCCTAAAGCTCTGACAAGAAGAATTTGTTCAATAATCAAGAACTTATTTAGCTGATGATTATTTTCTTAAATCTCGTGACCTTGATGTGTGATTCAGGGATGATATTGTAGGAAAAAATTAGGTCCGGTTCAAACGTCGAACTTTACATGTGCCGAACCCAACACCAATTTGAGTCGATCTAAATAATTAAGTTCGGCAGTTGATTCAAACGTCGAACTTAGTGTAGTCAAACTTAATTGGAAAAGTGAACATGACTCTCTGCGGTCAGCGGTTATTGCTTACCAAAATTTCTCGTTCAGTTCGTACTTGCCGCCGGCTAAAAAAGAAATACTGGCTGGCGGCATACAGAAGTAGTTCACACACCTCAGGCATGTATATTTCGTGCGCTTGAAGCAAGAGGAACGTATATTTCCCGCTCTTCCCGCCACTTTGTTGCAAAACAAGTTGTGTGCGCCGAGGAACGGTGATGTTCCTTTGGGAAATGAGCAATAATTGAAGGCAAGCCGAATTCAAAACTCGTCTCCTCCTTTCAGCGAGGTTATTTAATGCCAACTGCATCTTGAGTCGCCTCCCTCTACCCTCCTTCATTGCAGTTGCAAGAAAAATAAGCTCTTTATTTCCACAATTTGTCTTTCCCGATTTTTTTCCGATATTGTAGTAAGCAATAACCGCTGACCGCAATAGTCATGTTCATTTTTCCAGTTAAGTGTTCAAAATACAAAAACCTAAAACCTAACCCACACGAAAAATATCCTTAAGATTTTAAACAAGAAGCTCTTATTTCAATTGCCTGAATGTTTCGTGGATTCAGCAAATTATATCAGACGAGGTCACGATTGAGACTCAAAACGTTTAGGAAACTCCTTTACTCTGTTGAGTCGAAAAAGGATGTCTTAAAACACGAATCCCACAAAGGAGATCAAGCATCAATTGGGCATGAACTTTACAGAGTTGAAAAAAAAGCTGAGATTTGTTCACAATAATACTTACTTGTTAAACAAGGCTAAGTCCGGGACCCAGATTTCACTGGGATCGAAGTGCACCCGATCCACGTCATCATATTGACTTGCATTCCACGTAAGAAATTCGTTATTCCAATTCTGAAAATGACAAGAAATATTTCAAAGTTGGCAAAGTATTTGCCAAATGGTTCTGTCAAATTTCTATCACTCAGGTAAATACCAGCGTTCAATATTTTCAGGAAAACCAAATAGGGCACGCTGAGCAATCAAGTACTTATTACCTCCAAACTTCCCCCATACTCTCCAGCCACCCTCAACCCCCCCCCTTAAAAAAAAGAGAGTGAACGGGCAAGCCTCTTCTCTATCAACTGATACTTTTAAAAACGCAGAGGTCATAATAAAATTTTCCCAGAGCATTGCATATCGTAGACTGAGCACGCTTTTAAAAGATCGAATGTCTCGGTTGGCTTAGTCGATAGCCATAAAACGACCATAAAATAAACCCGTAAGGCGAAAAAATTGACAAATTGTAACCAATAGTCGTAATAAAGTTAACCGAAAAAAATTCGTGTTAAAAACGACGGAAAATATTCATTATTAGTCGTGAAATGGCCAAAATTTTAACCTTTAGCCATAAAAGCCATTACATCATTGAGACCCTCTTGAAACCGTAAATTTTCCATGAAAATTCACTGTAGCTGCATCTGCAAAAGGTCTGGGAAAGATATAAACGAAAAAGTCATCAAAGGGTTGTGCCCTAAGAGAATCACTCCCGATGTCACGGCTTACAGTAGGATCCAGGTTTGACCGAGTGGAAAACACCTGACGATGAGGCTGTATGTAAAATCAGTTGCAGCCCCTACCACATAACAACAACGAAAAGAATCAAACTTTAAGGTTGAGTGAGAGGGAGGGCAGTTTAGTGGTTACCTGTATAACCCAGGTGTCCAAAACTACGAGTTGTTCTTGATTATCCTGCAAAATAACAACAACACATGATTAATTTTATTCCTCAATCCTGATGTGAAGGAGTCGAACTTGCGCAAGTTTCCCAAAAGATGTTTAATGATGACTTCGATGAACCGAGAAGAAACAAAATCACTGTTGTACGCCAACGTTTTAGAAACTTGTTTTGACTCCAAGGAAAAGAGGTGCACTGACGTCATGACCTAGAGCAAAATATTTACCCAACGACTCCCACTCAGTCAATAAGTATTTAATTGTTATTAGAAATTGCACTAGTTTTCCATTTAATTTAACAACACACTAAAACTATTGGGATCAATATCAGTATCTGGGCAACTGCCCACCTACCCCTCCCCTAACTTAGGGGAGGCGTAAGTGGGCAGTTGCCCAGATACTGATATTGATCCAACTATTGTAAGTGTAGCCGTACCCTCCGCCCCAAGGTGTAACGGAAGCGTGGGAACGTCTACGCAAACCTGACACTAATAGTGTTCTGTGACGTCACTCTAATTTATGCAAAATAATGTCACTTGATAATATTTTTTGCGGAGTGGCACGTGATAGCGTGAAGGATGTCGAGATAAACAACAACGTTGAAGTGAATTCGTTTACCATTTCTCGGGTAAATTTGCAATTAATCGTCCGAGTTCAAAAATACAATTTGCTTCAAGGATATAGGAAGAGATTATGCGCGATTTTTGGGATAGAGTAAGAAGAGGACCATTTAATTCTTACCACTTTCACCAATCTGCTAACTCTCAAGGCAAAGGAGACCTCCACCACTTTTTTTCCTTTCAAAACTGGACGGACCTTGCGGTCATAATTCTCGAGCAAATCTTCTCGAATGTGATGTTCCCAGGAACTGTTCGTGGTACCTAAAGATACTAAATCCAGACAGGCAAACAGTGTTCTAACCCTCTATAAAATGGTGATGTAACGCTGTTTTATTCGCACTTAAACCGCATGAAAGACAATTATAATAACTCTCAGTTCTTTTCACGCACACAGGGCTCTCTTCTAACCAAAACCTTTACCATAATATTTCTCACAGCGGCAGCCACAGGCAGCCCAACAGATACTGCAGGTGAAACACGTAGAACCTGGTAGTGACCGAGGTTGCCATTAAGTTTTTGTGGTTCAGTGGTGGAAGCGCAGAATCCAAACGGAGGTTTCTCATGGGAACTCAGAATTTTTGCTTTATCCCACGCTCGCGGCAAGACACAAAAAACACTTATTGTCACCAGCGTGGAACATAGAAAAATAATAAGTTCATTAAAGGAATCGAACTCAAGGCTTAGTCAATTTTGAAAAGATTTGGAAGATTTACCGAGGGTCCTAATAACTTTTTACTACACCGAATAAATCCTGCGGAAAGGATCAAAGCTTAGAGCGAAATTAAATGAAAACCCTTCTGGACCTGCTGTAATAAACACTATAATAATTGTTCGCCCCATTTCTGAACACTGGATTGTTTTGAAAACAATCGTTTGTATCAAAAGTAATATTCTGAAATGATTTGATTCAATCTTACTGGCGCATTGAAATTATTTAGGAGAGAAGAAACAAAACGCACACTCCTGTTAAACAAGGTTTATGGTCCCATAAATCGGAGGGACCTTTCTCCCTTTGTTTGTTACCGAAAACCATCGAAATCCAAAAACTAAAATTTCTTATCTCTTAGTATGCGATTAAGTCAATTGTTATATTACTTAAATTTCTGCCTATTGTAATGTAGATTGTTCCTTTGGCGGTTTAAGTTTACACGATTACATGTTAAAGGTTAGTTAAATTTTTAACGCCCAAGTTGGGAAAGAAACGAACTTGGGGCGAGAAAAGATCATGAGAGTTCTCTAGCTGGTAGAGCAATCAAAAAAGGCCTTGTGAGAAAACTACGTGACGAGCTAAAAATCCTTAACCTAGGTGTTGGGGTTAATGAACAAATACAATTCAAAACAAATCGGTTCCTAGCGACAGCATAACAGAGTCTAAGCTATATCAAATATCACGTTGTAGCCCACTTCATAGAAGTTGAAGCCGCTGTAGGGAATCCCTTTTTATTTAACGAACACAAATAAATCCTCAGATTAAGGTGAGCAGTAATTAGGACTCAAACACGATTTTAGCACACATTACTCCTCAAATTACAAGCAATCACATTTCACTCATTTGCATGCAAGTCTGTAATGAGTGAACAACTGAATAAATACTAACAAATTGATCTCTGGTCACGCGAAATGAAGAAGTATTGCCGATTTCTCAAATCATAGTACGATTAGGAAAAAATTTCCCACCCCTTCATATCTAAACATTTAATGACGTGTTTGCTCTTAAGAACGATCGAAATGAACACAGACACTTACCCGTTAACATTGAAGATAATATTACGCTTGTTAGTGATGCAAGTATTTGATTCATCGTCACGAAATTTGTCTGATGAGCTTTAAAAACTTGTCCGCCTTGCTACGACCTGAATTATTACGCGGATTTTCTCTCTGGGATGTTGGTAAGACAGTGTCAGTGATCCGTGATCTGCGATTCTGAGATGTGTGATCATCAGGTTATTGCAAAATAGTAGGTAAACATCCACAATGATGACGTCGATACAACTCTCACTAATGGTTTGCATCACTGGGCCGAGTCACGTTTTCAACGAAAGGTCACCAAGGGCAGAGCTGAATAACTAAATACCACAGGTATGCCGTCAACAACGCGGGCTGAGGCGTGCGAGGTTTAAAATTAAGCGAAATTCGCGGATAAAATGGGCTGGCATTTAAAAGCGAGGCATTTTGTTGTCGTCATTTTTAAGACGATAACTAATTTTCGAAAATGCTAAGGGGGTGTACAAAGACTTTCGAGGTTGTTCTGCAAAAGAAAAGCGCCAAGTGAAACAACGCCTCGAGGCAACAGAATGGAAAATCAACCACGCAAACGACTCAAGATCCGTTTTCTGCGCCAAAGCCTAGCATATGGGCAGACGTTATTAAGCTCTGTCGTCACCAAGGGTTTTCGGACCAATATCCGGATTTACCAGTTTCTTCCAAAGTACTGAAACATTAGGATATTAGCCCTTAATGGACGTAAGTTTCTAAAGAAACTGTGATACTGTGTCGGTGGGAGAGTATAACAAGGTAATTTGGTATCACAACTAAGATGATAACGTAAATTGGCCACCGTTAAGAGTTTGAAAGCCTGGAAACTCTTAACGGTGACCAATTAATGTTTCAACTTCTTTTCTGCCAATGCTAAAATCGCATCAGCTAGCAATGATCAGGTCTTCGCCTGATTGTTATCCGCAGATCAAATGAAAGTTGAAAAACACTTGAAAGCTCTAGTAGCGAGGCGAAGTTCATACAGAGGCTTTGGTTGCCATGAACTCTTGATTTCTTTCTTTCGAATAAATACGTGAATGCTGAAACTTTTACTATAAAAATAATCAGAAATAAACTCAAACATAAAGACATACAAAATATTCCTCTCTCGGACAGCACTATTAAAGCCATTTTCAACTGATTCTCGAAAGTAATTCGGCATTGTTTCGGTCTTCCTTTAATTCGCTTTGTGATTGGTCTTAAAAAATCGTACCACCGTCTCAACCAATCAGAAGCAACCTCACTTGCCGCGGTGTTCGCTTGTTGAACATTGAATGCTCTCATTGGCTCTTTTGGTCATTTGGCTCACCTCTGACTGGCCGTGTTGATTTCGAAAAACTCTATAATCTTTTACTCTTATCCATAACTGCATGATGTTACTTTAGAACGCAAATATCCATTTAATCTTATAAATGACTATTAAGAAGTAACATTTACACTGTCAAACACAGTTTGTTCTAAAGTTTTACATGGCCATTTCTTAGCCAAATAGGGAAAAATATTTTACTTTATAGTTATATATTTATATAACTTTTTTCTGCATTTCTCGTTCGCGATTCTGTTGTTTGTTTTAAAGACTTAAGTCATCTATCTTTACACGTAAATCTTTTTTTGTGTATGCTAAGGGAAAATAACGATACGATAAGAAAGCTATCTTTTCAGACTTCAATCTGCTCTTTGGGGTTTTTTCCTACGGAAAAACGATAACAAGCAAAAATTGTTGGGATAAATATCAAAACTACGACATAATTGGCAGAGAGATTAATTCATCGACATGTTCGAGAATCAATCATGAAAAATTTTCAGGTGAACCATGAACAAACAGATGTTACTTATCTTTTATTAAGATTCCGAAAAGCCTCCTAACAAAATGGCGGCGTCTGAAGCAACTAAGTAACCTGGCCGCACATGCACGACGACCCTGAATTCCATTCGAACGTTGGCATTCGGAAGATAACTCGAAAGGACAGGTTACCCTTGGTGTTTTCATAAACGTTTCAGATTTGTAATTTTACGTATACATTTTAAATAATTAATTAATAATAAATTTTAAAACTTTAAATGGTTTATAGAACATTCTCCTTAAAACTTTTATATAACAGCAATGTTATAACATTGACACAATTATCCACTAAATGTCAAGGCATAGGCGATAGACGAAGCAATAATGAAAAGTACGAAGAACACGAGATCCATTCTGGCAGACACCCTCCGCCACGTGAACTCCTGGACTTCTAGCGGTTGTGCAAATGCTGGGGTTCTTGTGCATTCAGACGCCTCAATACCAGTCGTCATAGAGGATTTCAAGGCCAGAGGGTAAGTGCTATCTGGCTGTGGCAAATGGATTCGCCTCAATCTTGACCCCTTTTTAAAGCTGCAGAGTTTCTCCATCCAGTTTGGTGGCGTTCCCTCCTTGAAATAAACCCTCAGGACAAAAATATTGGCGAAAAGGACTGCTGCAATTAAGATCATGGTAACCTGAAGGTTAATACCCAAGATTGGGATGCCATCTGAGGTAACCGGAAGGAAAGACGGAATTAGAAGGAGAAACACAGTCATGGCTAACAGGATGGTTGTGACAAAACCGATGCGTTCGCCGCTTTCAACATGGATCAGGAAGCTGCTGAGTGCAAGAATCGTCAGAAGAACAGTCGGAGTAAACAAGTAGAACATGTAGTAGAGATATTTCCGTTTCATTTCCAGAGTGTACACCACTTCGCTGAAGTTAAATGGACAACAGTTCCCGTGATCAGTCTCGGATATTTTAGCTGTGATGTTTGTTATTTCCCAATCTCCACTTTTCACAAAGCGATCTGAAACGAAAATATGTTCTATTATTAAGTCGTTCTAGCATATTGAATCATACCTGCATTGTGAATGCTTTTTATCTATGATCTGTCAGAGGACAAATCCGGCTTCGATGGCCTTATCATTGATACAGTTTTTTTAGGGACGGGTAATTCATTACAAGGGGTAAGGGGTCACATCTTTTTGTGCACCAGAAAATGAGGGGCGTCATAAACTTCTGCAGTCATTTCTGACAGGCATTTCATATTCCTTTTTACGAAAGAAAATGCAGTGGAAGGACCAACAACGACCCACTCTTAGGTGAGGGGGAGCACATCACTTTATGCAGAGGTGAGAATAGAACCACTGGGAATTACGTGGGGGAAAGTTTGGCTCTGTTTCTTCCCGACTCCCTACCTCCTCGCTAGTTTGTTCGCTCTACGTTTTCCTCCACCTTACCAATGGATCAAATATAGCGGCTTCAACACTAGCTCGCAAGAGAAATCGATTGCCTTGCAGGCTATCAGATTATGAGAATGAAGGAGGTAAACTTCTGGATAAATGTCAGTATCTGGGCAACCGCCCACCTACCCCACCCCTAACCCAACATTAACCCTAACTTGTTAACAAGTGACTGTTGTTGGGTTAGGGGAGGGGTAGGTGGGCAGTTGCCCAGATACTGATATTTATCACAATTTCTTTAGAAACTTTGGTGTTGCGTCGGTGGGGATAATACAAGATGACTTGTTCACCGTGAAGAGTTTCTAGAGCTGACGTTTCGATCGTTAGCTCTGATCTTTGTCAAAGTTAATGATTACACGATCAACTGTTTCTCCTAGTTTCGAAACATTTAGGTAATTTTTCATGTTCTCTTCACATTACAAGTAGGTAATGGATCAATGTCAGTAACTAAGTAACTGAGCACCTACCCTTCCCCTATCCCAACAACAGTCTACTGACTACAATCAACTGATATCAAGTTAGGTTACTGTTGGGTTAGGGGAGGGGTGGGTGCGAAGTTGTTCAGAGACTGACCTTGATCCGAAATAATGAACGAATCTTACTTGTAAATCTCCTTTCTTCCTTAAACAATTTAAGTCTCAGAAGGTTTTTTCCGTAAGAGAACGAACCAAATGCTAGTTCACAAGTTTGTTCGTCAAATGGCCATTCATCTACTTTCATCTCACAGTTGACCTTAAAAGTAGCTGGTCCGCTCCAAACACATCTCCCTTTATTGTTCACACTGACGTCTGTGACAAACTTGGTTGGCCCTCCAGCAAGGTTGATTTTGTCATCACCACTGCAGACGAGGAATACATATATTTGTGAGAGCTGCTTTTCTAATCACTCTGAACCAGATCAGATACCATAAACGTTATGAAAGCACCCGGCTAGGCTCGATTTCTACCATTTTCTCGGAACCGGGTCTTCGATCCTCCCGAGGAGGAACTTCAGAAGGAGGAGCGCGAGCTCATATCTCGAACAAGGGCTGGTAATCGAGCCTAAGACCCGAGGGGAAGTAAAAAATCCAGGGCTTTCAGACGATAGGGAGCATATTTGAGAGGTTTTTCAAAACGAAACTTCTTGACTCTTCTTGACTTCTTCTGATTGACAAGGTCATGGGACGCGGTTTAAATCTGTTACAGTACTGGCGAAAATATCCGTATGACTTTTCATCGACAAATTGCAAATTCCTAATTCCAAATTCCTAATGAGTGCCACTCATTAGATATTTGGTATTTGGCTGCGTCCCAGGTGATCGCTGTGACATAGTTTACTCTGTCAAACCTGGATCTCATCGTGATTCGAGACGTCATCAAGAGAGACACTCCTAGAAAGCCTACCTTTACCCAGAATTCGCGCGGGGAACATGGCAATGTAGAGCGCTAATTAAGAGAATTGGCTCTAACAGGAGGAAAAGGTGAAGCATGCCTACATACCTCTCCACTGGTAAACTAAGTTACGAAGTTGGAAAAATGAGTTGTTTAGACTTACTTGTTAAAAAGTGCCGTATCTGGGACCCAGATTTCTTCAGGAGAGAAATGGACGCGTTGTAAGTCACCGTACTTGCTTGAATTCCACGTTAGGAATTCATTTTTCCAACTCTGCAAGAGATAAAACCGACGTAAATGGGCACACTTATGGACAATATCTTTATTCACTTTCTTGGGGTTTTTACCTTG